TGAGGGGGGGGGGGGGGGATAGGTTGAGCGAGAGCCAACCTGGAGGGGAGGTGGAGAAGCAACAGTGGCGGATAAGTGGCGTGGGGTGGATGGCAGCGAACAAGCCAAAGAAAACGGAAAGGATGTGCACCATCTTGGGTCGAGTTATAGTCGGAGCATTTTTTCGCCGTTGGATACAAGTCTATAAGTTAAAAGTGTATGTGGCGGCTGTCCTTATAGAAACAGTCAGCCAAAAACTAATCCTAACATAGAAAGCAGCCTATTTATAATAAAAAATAACTTAGAGGGGGAGGGGGTGGCGGCGAGGGACCCCTCTCCTTGGGCGGTAGCACTCCAAACCCTAAGCAGGGTTCGGTTCAGTTTATTTGCTGAATCAACAGCTTCTTGGTTAACCAGTTGGAGCCAATTCAGCCCCAAGCCCCCCACGTCACTATGGTTTTGAGAACATGTTTGAGGATCAAATTTAACATGTGATTTGTTGTAGAATGGCCAGAAGATATAATATACAAATATTGCGAAGATTGAAGGGAAAAAAGTAGTTCCGACAGCTATCCAGGAAGGAAAACAGAAGTAAATGCAGCTGTTCAGCTATATCGGCTATGTAATGTTAAAGAGGTTCCACCACTGAATCTTGGTCAGATACTGGCTCAACACTTGAAGGGGAAGAATGCTTCATATCTCCAAGGTTTTGGCCCCCTTTTTGCATTTATTTGGATGAGACGTGGGAACATCAACATCAATCGCTGTGTGTGGCGGGGGTTCACATGAGCTTATTCATTGCTGTTAAGTCAATTCTCCGTCATGGTTGACTGCTTGACCTGCTTCAAGGCTTTCTTGAGTTGGGGTTGAGATTGATGACTTATGATGATTCCTTTGATTTGGCATATATGCTTAGTGATTTGTTTTAGGTCAGTACTCAATTGATTCAAACTGAGTTATAGGGTCAAAGTGAAAGCTGGTGCTACCTTTTGTTGGTCTTTGCAGTACTGGAATGGTATCTGGGCCTCTGTATTAGCTTTCTTGGAATCAAACAGGTCACCCAAAGGCAAAGGATGTCTAATAATCTGAGATGTTTTGGAGCAGTCAGTATTGAGCTGATTTAGCTTGATGAATCCAACCCAATTTGAGCGCAGTTTTCCCTTAAACTTTTTAGAGATTAGCATTCACATACGTATATCATTTTCTACCAATTTTCATTATTTATTACACCAAAGAAGTTAGTTACTATCTGGCTATTTATTGATTTTCATTAATTTAATCATCATGTGTGCCTTTCCTATTTTCACCTGAGAAATTAAAATCTGTCTTTCATGTGTAAATGTTATGTTGCTGGCAGAAAGAGTTTAGTTAAACTCGGACTGGAATGCGTTCTGTGCAGTGGATTGATGAAGCTGATCAAATGGTTGGGTTAATGCTATTTTTCCTGCTTATGATGATGGTTTATGAAGTTTTATTTTAGAAAAAAATTAGAATAATTATCTTGTATTTTGATTAATCTTTTATATGTTTTGCTTGTATATTTCTTGCCAAGAGGGCATTTTTTTCTCATTATGTTATCATATTCCTTCTAAAAAGGTCTGTTTCGATGGCAACAATCTATGATGTTCGCACACTATTCCATGTGCCGCAGTTATTTTGATGATGAAAGAGTGACTTATTTGTTAAATTTTGCAGCTTGTCAAACTTCTGGAGTTGAAGGAGGCTAATCATATTGAGTTCTGTAGAGTTAAGAATGTAGTTGACGAAATTCTGCAAATGCATAGAAATTCTGAGCTTTCTGTAATCCTTCGTATTTTATTGGAGCCGGCATGGCTGGCCACTGGATTGAAAGTTGATTATGATATCCTGGTACATTTACATGCACATATTTAAAAATTTGCAGTTAATTTGATTTTTCTGCTACTATTCTTATGAATTGTTATTTTACCGTTGACATTATTTTTTATTCCTTATATCTACTAATGTTTCTCTACAAGGTGAGGCCATTATGGATGCCTTCTTTGGTAAAATAATTTGTTGGAATCTTCTTTAGTTTGTTGAAATGCATGTTTTCTTTTTTCTTTGCTGAGGTGAATGCATGTGGCTAGGCTTTTTCCATTCAAAATGAATAATTGTTGCCAGATAGTGATTGCCACTGATGTTCTTGAAGTTTGCAATGATGAAAGTTCTCATCGATGCTTTTTTTGGAATTCTTAAATTAATTTACTTGTTTTACTATTTGGAAGAACTGTAAACGGGAGTCATTTTAAGATTTTGTTATGTAAAATCATGATGAGTTTGCTGAGTACAACTCAGAATAAAAAGTCTCCCAATTATTCAGTTAATTGTATGCTTTAGACCATATCTATTTTGCTAGAATATGTGCCCGGAATATTTTCTTACTTTTTGGAGTTATTAGCCTGAAAAGTTTTAATTAATATTTGCTAATCAACTAGAGCTAAATCATAATGATTAATGAGTGAACTAAGTCTTTTTTTTATGCTATATTTTATGACTTACAAATGATGCGAGTTATATCATTGGCACTTACCATGGTTGCCAAATAAAAAAGAGAAGTACACAAGTCTATATTGATATAGCATGATAACCTAGGATACAATATCCGTAGAAACTTGAATACTGCAGAAAATTCATTTGACTTGGTCTTGATTGAAACTTGGATATGAGTATGTCATGAGCAATTACCAGGATTGCCAAAGAAAAAAGAAAATTAGACAAGGACATATTGACATGACCTAGGATACAAAATCCTTAGAAACATGAAAACTTCAATAAATTCATTTGAGTTAGCCTTGATTGAAGCTTGGGAAAATAGGTGAGTGATGATATTTTAATTCCTACCTCATATTATAAATTGTATTTGAATATCTTGTTCATCAAACGGTCATAACTATGATTGCTTTCATTCGAATGATAAGGTCGTTGAGCAATCTAAATTGGATTGATTTGTGTTTATTTATAAAGTCAAAATAGTGGGACCATTTTAACATACACATAAGAAAACCGCTGCTCTAGAAAATATTTGAAGTGGTATACTTTTGAAAAAAGTTAAATAATAACTGAGGGTCAATAATCACAATGGAATGGCGACCAACCCAATGTTAACTGGACATAAATTTAAATCTATATATCATATTTTGGGCAGTCTAATGAGATTTTGCCAATAATTGAAAATAAGAGACATAGCAAGCTAGCCATTTTCTGTTTAGTGAAGATGAGAGTAATTTTATTTTAATATATGGATGGATGCTTAATGAGGTGGTGTTGGATCTTCATGAAAAGAAAAAAAAAATGATTATTTGATGGAGGGGATTGATATCCTGAATCATTTAGCACACCAACGATATTTGCAAAGGATTGAGAAGCGTGAGCAACTAGAGGTGCAGGTTCCAAGGGAGACACATCAAGAGGAGCCATTGTGAGGAAATGAGTCATTGTGATAAAATGTGACGACCTAACTTGTCGTCCATAAAAAATCTTCATAATAACCAATGTTGGAGAAATTTGGGATTTGATGGAAACTTAATGGTAAAAGAGGATAAGGATTTAAAACAGAAGTCAAAATGGTAACAATGGCACCATCACAAGTCGAGGAAAGTAAACAAGCATCACAGTCATGTCAAGAAGGTGGGAAGCAACGAAAGATAACATGACAACCTTGAGTGCAAGATGGATAGGCATTGAATAGCCTAACCAAGCCTAATTATAAAATGAGCTAGATGGTGATGCTCTCGGATGTTGACTTTTGAGATTGGGATAACGAGAACATTGTATAAGACCAAAGTTGTGCACCTTATGAATGCTGGGACAGGGCAAGCACACACTACCATACAGACTGCATGAGTCAACTGCAAGCGTGATAGATGTGAATGAGTGCAGGAGTAAGCTTGACGGAGACTGACTTTATGGTTTTTGGAGCTTGTGCAAGTGAGCAAGCACAGCTGAGCAGGATTGGGCACAAATCTGTAAGGGAAGCAGACACATGGTGAAAAATAATTTGACTGTTGTTAATGATCCTAAAAATACAATTTAGTGTTACCTAAGGTTAAGCCCATGGATAGGGTCTCTGCCAATGGAAGAATGCCTCTAGATTAAACTAATTCTACTTGATGTATGAATTTTTTATTTTGAGGTATAGTTTGCAAATTTCTAACTTCATATCTAGCATCTATTTTCTATCCTATAAGTGATGCGAGAGTGCCCCATCTAAGTGGAACAAGATTGTGATCTCCAATAGCAGGAAGTTTTCTTCCTTTATGTTGGGCTTATATATACTTTTTTTTATTTGTAATTAGGGTTTAAGTTCTATCTTATTATATGCATGTTGTTTTAGAATCTGATTCGGACGCATCTTTTTTTTATGTTATTTGGATTATTTTTTCTATTTTCTCTCTTTTGGAGAGCTCGACCTTTTCCTTTAAGTGACTAGCTTATATCTTAATAGAGAAGAGGTGTTTGAATCTCTTTGATGTCCATACCTCACTGAATGCCTTTCGATAACCCGGACACGAATCTTCCATCTTCATTAGAAAGGATAAATTTTGGAATTATGTGCAATTTGATAATTTCTTTTACATATAATCTGACAAACCTTTTAGTTGAATATGTTCGTCTAATTGGTAAGAAATGAGTTGACTTTGTTAGCCTGTCAATACTGTGCAATTTGATAATTTCCTTTACATATAATCTGACGAACCTTTTAGTTGAATATGTTCGTCTAATCGGTAAGAAATGAGTTGACTTTGTTAGCCTGTCAATAATGGCTCATTTATTAAATTATCACAAACATATATGATACATTTTAATAAATTTTCTGATTTAACCATAAACATAGTTTATTTAAAAATTCTTATCTCAAACGAGCTTCTCGACATAACTCCGTTCTTGCATTATTGCCTATTCTCCTCATATTTCTATTCATTTAATTCGCCCTTTTCTTCACTAATTTCCATTAAATCGCTTACAGAAGTCCACAAATCAAGCTCACTGCTTATGTCACAAGTTTTTCTCCGCTACAACTACCAGAAGCAAAAATTGTACCAATTTGTTGCATACATCAAAATAAAAGTTTGAGGAAATGAATGTCATAATTAGCATGAAAAAGGGTTTCTTATTCACTGAATTCTTCCCGAAGCCCTAAAACGTTGGTTGCGACACTCTACGGGTCACACAGCTCCCACTGCTACAGTGTCCCAATCACGGTTCTCACAGTAAGAAGGAATCGGGAGAGGGAAGCATGACTTTTAACTACCTCCCTTTAGATCTTTACCATTTGATATCATCAGATCATTGCATGCACAAGATAGTGTGGGAGAGTCGGTTGTGAATGATGAAGCTGAGGAAGATTAGGAATTAATTATTGTTTAATTAAGTTCAATTAGATATTTGTTCTTGATTGTCACTTTGTTCAACTCTATAATTAGATCCGTCTTTTTTCTTGGCTAATAATATTAGAGCACTCTAAGGTGAACTACTTAGCTGATAAAACCATTATTCATCAGTTCATGTAACTGATATTTCAATTTTTGCTATAGCTTCGAATCCATCCAATAAGGAGAATTAAAAATTACAGATGTCTTATGCTGCACATTAATGTGAAACTCAACTTATTGTTCTGATGATAGCTCTGACAATTCTTCAGAAAATACATCAGAAAATTTGGCAATAACTAGAATACTTTTCAAATCCTTTAGTGTAAATCTTTATTTAACACTATTAATTTGGTTAAAAATACAAGGTCGTCACTTCTCAAATACTTATTAATTTTCATTGAACTAATTAGAGACAATAGAGCATTTGGATCACATAAGATATAAAATTACTTTTCATTGGACAAATTGAATTTGATTCGCATTTTAAAGATTCAATTGTAGCAAAATTATTTACCAACTAATCCATTCGCAGTATGACATCAAAAGCCTGAATTAGTATTATAACTAGCTTTGTTGTAGCTTCTTCTCTGTAATATTAACATGCACTACACATTTCTATTTGCATCCCAAAGGCATAAGAATGAATGATGCATGAGTAAAGTGTATAATATCAACAAATAAATTGATAGCAAACTCATCTGAGATAAAGGAATGTGATGCACCCAGATAAAAAAAAAATAGTGTCACATTGATCTTGAATCAGAAGCGTGCCTGTAACAACTTCAGTTTTATAGCTTCTTGAGGGGTATTTTCAAAAACTCGTGCTTTCATTGGTTGCTCAATTCTGCGTTTTTAAGTTTCATTCTTTGTTTGCATTGAAGGCTTTCTTAAAACCCGAGTTTTGCAGGGCTGACTGCCTTCCAAAAAATTTTTTGGCCTGTCCATATCACTGAAATATTGGTGGTTTGTTGTCTCTTCTCTTTTCCTTCGGACAATTCATCCGAAGATGCCATGGTTGTCCATATTTGTACACTTTCTTGAACTCATCAAACACTGCCCAAACTATCATTTTCAACATTTTTCACATATTGTCTTTTATGGCTATGGCTGTTTCCGCTTAACTTTTGATTTAATGTTCTTGCTTTCGACGTATTCTCCTTTGTTAAAATCCTTTCGCTTGCTTGCCTGATGTTTTCAACGGTGATCGGAAAAGTTCAACTCATTTTCAATTCATCTAGCCCTTTCAACTAGCATTAACAAATCATAGTTTTGAATGTGGTGCTAAAATGAACCTCAACTAATCCTTGAGACAGTAGATGCATATCTAGAGGTGAAATAAATTATGCCTCATATTGCATAATTGATCTTAACCCCAAAGTCAGATTGAAAATTTTATTTTGCAAAGCTAATCTGGATGAAGGCAGAGTAAACCAATTTTTGAAGACTGATAAAATCATCCCACTAAATTTGTGGATG